CAGTGTTGTATAAAAGAGAAAAATACCACTAGGGAAATGTCCTCCAAGCCTTTAACAAATGCAGACACTCATGATTTTTGTAAGTAAGGGGCGGGGGAGGCAGGGCTGGAGGAGGGGGGAGGGGACCATGGGGGGACCCCCACCAGGCACCATCCCCTGCCTGCTCTCCCAGTCCTCTGAGAGCACCCTAACACGCCCAGTAACGTCAATGTCTCCCAGCAACGTCAATGGTTGCCCTGCCCAGCCCCAGCTCATGGTTCTTAAAAAAAAAAGACAAAACTCTGCGCTCACTGGCTGCTGCCAGGTGGGGCAGGGGCAAACCCTGCTGCCTCTCACTGCCCCATGCTGCATGGGGGCTCTGTCATGAGCCCCTATACCCCTTCTGCTCTCCCAGCCCCATCCGTAGCTGCCCCGCCTGGCCCCAGCACCCAGTTCTTTAAAAAAAAAAAGAAAGAAAAGCCCTGCACTCACCGGCTGCTGCAGCCACTGTCAGGGCATCTGGGGGCTTGTGGCAGAGCCCCCCTATGCAGTGCGGGGCAGTGGAGTGCGGTGGGGATCCCCCCCACCTGGCAGCAGCCGGTGAGTGGGGGGTTGTTTTTTTTTAAAGAGGCAGGTGGCTGGGGACAGCCATTGACGGGGCTGGGACAGTGGGCGGGGGATGCGGCCTGCTTGATTCAGAGATTCAACCAATTTGGCAGTGGCCAAATCTCCCAATCAGATTTGGCTGAATCAATTTGGAACAGTGATTAGAATCACTGAATCAAATCACTGTCCCTCGAATTGGCTGAATCTGAATCCACAGTGAATACTAGCCACTTCACACAGGCCTAGTAATAAGTACCTTTTTCTTATTATTCTGGCTTCCCTTCCAGAGCTTACTTGGAACAACTTCTTAGAAAAGCATGTTGGTTGGGTCTGCAAGACTGTTTAGATCTATGTTCAGAACTCTATGCCAAGTGGATGGAGAACCCCAAGAATCAGTAAGATACTATAGTATTATAGATATGCATGTGTAAGCCGGATATACATTTAAAAGGCCATTTCATGGCGTGTGCTGCGTATGGGAGGCACCTTGCATACTCCTCTTTTTATCTCCACAACATGGAATGAACTAAATTGTAAAAAATATAACTTCAAAAAAACCACTGCATATTACTTCAAGTAAATGTCACGTGCTAAAGGATGCAGAAAGACTGACTGCTATGAAGATTGATTCTGCTTACTTGGGAAAGTGCAGGCAGTGACAGCACAAGCAGTTCACACAGCCCTATCAGTTTGCCTCAGCTTTGATCTGTGAGCATCTGTTCAATCTTTAGCTTATGTAATCAATGCTTTATTTTTTTTATACGGGCACCTGCTCCATCTGAGACCACCAACTCATTCTGCAAGTGCTGCTGCCCAACTATCAGTTGGTAATAGCTATCAGGATTTACTGACTTAAATCCTATTTGGGATCTGGCCCATTCTGTGCCTAATATGGGTCTTATTTGGAATTTAGGTAGCTGTGTCCAAAGTAGCGATCCTGAAAACCCTTACTGAGCTGTCTAGGCTCACAAAATTCATAGACACCATAGTGTGCATGACTACAGTTCCCAAGGCACCTACAAGTACTGCTTCTGCCTATGTATAGAAGCATCTCAGTTTTAACAAAATTGCCTATTTCATGCCTAAGCTCAATTAGAATCCAGAAAACAGGCATTCTGCCATATCCCTTGGTGTGTATTGTCAGAGCACACCTAATGTGCAGCGATGGATTCAGGCTCCTTGCAAAATGCAGTGATGGCCATTGCTTTGCTTTAAAACACTGGTGTTGTGCTGCTCATAACCTCTACCCCTTTAAACAGTAATTCAGTTGCTGGGACACTTGTGCAAGGAGGTGTGAGAGAACGTTCTTCTGTTTTGAGAGTATTCATTTGAAACAGTCATTGAATAGAATGCATTGCAGTTCTACAAACAGGGGCTGGAATCCAGGACTAGCCCTTCCAGGCAAGTGCCCTTACCACTAACACAGCTATGCTCCCACTTGTGTTATTTCTGGCCCAGTGAATCATGTGTTCTTTTTTGCAGAGTGGAGCAGCTTTAAAAAGAGTGGAAAGTGCCTTCATCCTAAAATAGCTTATAATTTGACAGTGAGGGCACTTACGTAGGAGGTGTGGATTTGTATCCCCCTTAGGCAAGGGCTCTCCAACTGACAGCCCTTGAGGGGCTACTTTTGCAGTCTGGGGGCTTCTGGCTGGCCACCACTCCCCTCCTTCACTTTAGCTGCATGAGCAGCCAGAGCCTCCAGGTTGTCCTTCCCTTCTCCAGCTTGTGTGTCCTGCCCTGTTCCCTGGGTAGGGCAGGGTGATACAGTCTGGGGATCTCGGGAGGGAGCTGGGGACATATATACAGTGCTGTCTTTGGGGTAGGAGTAGGTTGTCCATGTGTGGTGCAGCACAGCAGATGACGGGGGAGAGGAAACATTTGCATGCAGCATGGACAAACACATTAGAAGGAGCAGCGTGCCCACACGTATAGCCTGAGGGCCTGTCTCACAGTGTGTGTGTGGGGGGGAGTGCACCCGGGTGGTGTGCAGGCCAGGAAGCATGTGGCCCACACTAGTGCAGCCCTCAACCACTTAAAAGTTGGACAGCCCTCCGCAGCTATAGGAGGGCGTTCACCAGTGCTCTGTTATAAAAACAGGGTCTTCCCCTCTCCATATTAGAAAACAGTGTGCATATTTTATTCTTGAAAAGAAAGTGCCAAGAGCTAGGTCCTAGGTCCTGAGAGGATGGAGGCCTTCCCTTTCAGCCCTGAATGAGGTGTCCAGGGGTCAGAATTCAGGACACAGTTCTGGCTTAAACTCAAAGTTTCTCCAGCCATAGAATGCTTTCTTTATGTCAGCAGGATAATGCTAATTCACCAAGTAAAAGAAGGCCTCTGCTGCCACCTGGCAGAGGGTTTGTGTAGATATACTCGTGCATTCTGCCAATTGGTGGACCTAACAGGAGAAACTGAAGTCCTCAGGTTCTTTGTGGGTATGCATGCACACTGACAACTTCCCTGAGGCTACTGCTATCTGCTGATCAACTTTCTCTCTCTAAACAAAGGCATCAGCCAGTGTTTTCAGTTGACCAGCTCTAGGTAATTGCTTGCTTGGTGTATTTACTATAGGCACCTCTGCTTAGCAGGCTTGATGTTTTAGACCCTATTTTGACAGAAAGTCTCCCCATGTATTGTATATGAAGACTAGACACCTCATTAGGAGTTCTGGCTTTCACATTTTGAACTCCTTTTATCAGACCTGGTCCTGAGGGTCTGATTTGCTAGGCAGTTATTTTTAACCTTTTTGATATAAGTGGAACTTTCTTCAGGTTTATGAGCACCCATTTGCATGAGTCAGGTCTTAGGCAGGATTTTAATAGGTAACTTAAAGTATTCTTCACCTATGACATCTATTCTCAATGCAACATAAAGCTCAGAATCTAACTGAGCAGACAACAGCAATTCAAAAATCAAGATTTCCATGTAACCACTGACTTTGTTACGTTGTACAAGTCATACCTTGTGACTTTCTTACATACCACTAACATTAGTATGCTGTATAGTTACATTGTTTATTTTCATTAGATTAATTAAAATATTGTTTTGAGACTGTGTAATATGTTTTAAAAACCTACTATCAGAATTTATTAAGAAATACACTAAGTGAATTTCAAAAGCTGAAATCAAAAGTGTATGCTGGACTGCCATGTATATAAGAATAGCTTATAGTTGGCAGCAGCACTGTTTTAGAGTATTCCATTGCTGAAAAGTCTTTCTAACATATTGAAATTCTTACTTTTCTCTCTCTCCCTTTCTTCTTGTTGTTTCTCTATGCAATTGTGATAGTATTGGCACTGGTGAGTATTGGCACTGGCACTGTGTTTAGTTATTCATCTTTTATATTTGTTTTTTATTTACTATAGTTACTAAAAGTGAACAAAAATGTTTTGGGGTATTTATATCTATGTCCATGCAATGATTTATGTTAGCTAAACTTGCGTTTCATAATGTTTTTAAAGTAGTTTTTTAATAAAACTTACTTTTAAAGGAAAACTGAAAAGCATTACAAATATTAAACACCGTTTAATATTCTGAACAGATTATTCATATTATTGAAGAGTAACAGCAGCAAATGCTACAGTTACGGTTGCAAGACTGTTTTCAAAATCAACACTTTTCTATTTTGCATAATCTTTAAAATGCTTATCTCCCATGATGCAGTTTTCTAAAGTATGAGTCTAAAGATGGACTTCTTAAAAACTAGGAAATATTTGTTGATCTGTGTTGGGATACATGGGGGGGGGTGGTAAAAGACTCACAATCTGCAGAAAAAAATCCTTTTTTTTTTGTGCTAGTCCAGTGCCTCTATGTTACTCGATTGCTTCTTGTACTTCCTCATCAGATTGATGTTCACAATGGAATTATTCTACCAAAAGCTGACAGCATGATCTTTACCTTCTGTTGTGAAATCCTCACATATTTGAAAAAGAACATTGCCATGGAGAGCAACCATCTTCCTGACCCCTTTCAGGCAGGCTGCTGTCTGTTTCGTGGAAGAATTTGTAGTGATTTTTTTATACAATACGTGGAATATTATGAACTATTGCCTTATCTCCTCATACCTTAGAACCTTTCAAAGCATT